CAACACTTGTGTAAATGTTATCAATGGCACCAGATAGCAGTTAAGGCTGCTAGAGAAGTCCATAAAGAAGTCAGCTCTGCATCTAGAAAGAAATTATAGGTGGGAGTCCAGAAGAGTGGGGTCTTTTGTTGTGCCTTGTGACATTGGCCAAGCTACCAGGTCTCTTATTTGGGCTTCTTTGCTTGATCTGTAATGCAAAGGGGCAAGGAGAGGGGTCAGTAAAAGAAAATGCCTGCTAAGGACCTGTCAGCTCTAACTTGCTTTGTCTGTGAAGGCAGTCTGTGACCTTCATCTAGGAACTGGGGGAAGCATGCCAAATACCTAGAGTAATGGTAGAAACTAGCTTTCCTTTTAGTCATGGGCTTTGAAAAATATTTCTCCACTTCAGAATCTTACTGACACCTTTACTGTAAGCTAAAGGAGAATAAGTGATCTCAGTATCTCTGAAGCAGAGGCACCACTCTAAAAACGAGGCCCGGCTGAACGTGCTCTTCTATTTTCAACCTAGGATAAGCTCCACCAAGTAGCATTCCAGCCCTGTGTTGTGGTGAGAGGTCAAGATTTTCACAGTTTACAGTGCAGGACAACTGTCCTGTGAACAAAGTGTCTACACTCTGGAAGAAGTCAAACCCAGGGGCCTCTGTTGATTCCCCAGCAGCTTTCAGTGCACTCCCCAAAGGCAGCACGGCTCTTACCAGGTGCACCTTATATAGAGACAGTCATGGGGAAGACATTTTAGTTCTTTTCCTCCAACTCAGAAAAAAGACAGTCGTTCTCTACCAAACAGCTCCAGTGTCATTTGAGATCACATCCCCTGCTACCAGATTACCGCGTGCTACGTTTTTCTTCGCTTGTGTAGGAGTTAATGTGTTGATAGAATGTTAGCAGCTTTAGAACCTGAGATGAAGAACCTCAAGGCCTGTTGCAGCTCTGTGATCTTAAAGGCCAATTTTGTTTATGTTCTCCAACTGAATATCCTAAAGGTTGGTGAATCATTAGAGGTGGAAGGTTCCCGAGCCATTATTTAGCCACTCGCCCCCTACATCACTGAGGAGGACGTGAGATTTAGAGAGGGGCCTGTCAGTCAGGGCTCAAGGCCAGATTTTCCTGAGAGCTGTTACTCATTCCCCTTCTTGGCTCTGCACACAGCCCACAGATGGCCGAGGCCATGCCAGTCTAGAGGCCCAAGGACTCAGGAGACACTTCCAGTCAGGGGTCTCCATATATCTCATTAGACTGGAGACCCCAGCACGAGACTCCACCCACACTGTGGGGAGGGTAGGCCAGCAGGGTGAGGGAGGCAGGTGTGGGCACTACATCACCTTACAGCACCACTGGGTGAGGCGTTCTTTCTGCCAGGCTGGCACTGGATGTCCTTGGTCAAACTATGGCTTTGCTAACCCAAAACCTTTACCTGTGTTCGTGGATGTTAACTTTATTAAGTTAAAAAATAAAAAGCTACTCATAATTGCTTAGAAAGAAAAGAAAATAATTGTTGAGTAAAGCAATTCTATCTCTATACTTTTTGCCATTATACTTTGCAATTGCCATTCTTGGTTTTCCCATTCATAGAACCTGGTGGTTACCACCATTGCTCCAGGAGACCCCTATGTGCATACCCAAGATGAGCTAGCAATGAGATCTATATGAGATGAAATACATTAGGCCTTCTGAAAGCTATCCTTCTAGCCAGTAATAAAATCACTCCAGATCTGGCAGCTCACATTAGGGAGCCAGCAGGTGCCCATGTCATCTCACTATATCATGACAACACATTAGGAGGAAGACACTGTCTTTATCCCTGTTTCACAGATGAAAGTTAAAGTTCAAGAAGGATGGGTGATTTGCGTGGCAGGGTCCCACATGAGGCTGGTAGGGATTCTGCCTGCCACCTGTTGGCCAGCTCCTGAACCTGGCTCTCCCCAGCAGCACAGGCACTGCCTCCGTCTGAAGCTTGTCAAACAGGAGCTTTACTTTGTTCCCTCAGGGAAGCCAGCATTTGGCTTTGGAGGGGCTTACAAGATGCTGCTGGCACCGCACCACTGGTAAATGCGTGGGCTTCGGGGCAGCAGGTCAAACACTGCGTCTTTCAAGATCGAATGTAGGCTGAGGTGGCCTAGCTTTCCACAGCGCGTCCCCCAGTTCACAGGGCCTTCCACTCAGTTCTTTGCTGGTTTCTTCTTTCATCCACCTGTACTTCTGACTGCACTTCACAGGCCTCTTCAGAAACGCCAGGGTGCACCGATAGAGGGAGTTCCGATGACTTCATCCTGATTTCCAAAGAAGAAGATGGGAGCAGTGCCAGGGGCTCCTTCTCTGGCCAGGCCCAGCCTCTTCGCACCCTCAGAAGCTCCTCTGGGAAAAGCCAGGCCCCAGCCTGCTCCCCACTGGTGTTCTCAGATCCGCTGATGGGCCCAGCCTCAGCTTCCTCCAGCAACCCCAGCTCCAGCCCTGATGACGACAGTAGCAAGGACTCTGGCTTCACCATTGTGAGTCCCCTGGACATCTGACCACAGTGCCCAGTCCTGCCCCACAGGGATCCAGCCACCCTTTAGTGGCCCCAAGGCCAGACTGAGGCTTGCCCAGTGGAGACCCTTCTGAAACCACTGCTTCCTTCCCGGCATGCATTTGGCATTGGTCCAGCCCTTTGAAACCCCTTAGAGAGAAGCATATATGGCCACAAAGCACACAGGCTTAGGTTTGCCAAATGCAGACAGGGCTTTCTGGGCCCTTACCTAACTAACCCCTACCCGACTCTTGCTCTGAGTTAGAGCTGAGTTACATACCCAGTATCATACTCACAGTTAGAAAAGTAGAAACACTTTTCCTCTGTCCCCTTCCTCCCAGCCAAGAATGTGTGGCAACTCCATCAGTTATACTTAGAAGGAGGAGAAATAGTTTTTTCCTATCTTCTATCCCTCAAAGCATCAGACATAGGAAAATTGGTTTATACCAAGAAAGCTTCCTCTGTGGAAATCTGTCTAAGCCTACTTTATTCCTGCATTGGGAAGCCATATCGCAGATCTAAATGCGATAGAATGAACTAGAACTAGTGGATTCCAGGGCTGGGGGGAAAAAAACAAACTCATTACTGACCTCTCAAAGTTATAATGATCTCTGCAAACAGGGTCTAAACTTAGGAATCATATTTAGGTGCGATGTAGCATCAGATTTTTTTTGATGTATTAAAGAATGCATCTCCAGTCCTTAGGCCATCAATGTCTCTCCTTAAACAATTGTATTTCACCTTTTAGAATCTTTCATAGTCAGAAAACAAGGTTACTATAAGCCAGTTTTTGCTGCACTGATTTCAAAAGATATAAGAATATTACTATCCTTCAGATGGAAAATGTGGCCTTGACTTTATGGGATAAACATCTTTCAGACAGTTTTCTAGTCAAGTTTCTCTGGTTTCAGAGCTGTATATATACCTGTCAACTGAGGAGTAAAGGGAAAAACCCAAGTTCGTTCCCACCCAAAGTCAGAATTCCTCATTGGCCTTAAAGTAGCAGTCACAAGACTTAGAGAATTGGATCTAGAGTCCCTTCTGTGGGGAATAAGGATACCTAGAGAACATTCCAGATGCCAAGAGGATGCAGGATTTCTGCACAACCTCTTCCCTTCTTGGAAGTCAAATGTAGGAACTGCAGAGCCTGTGCTCATCTGTGAACCTGCATCCTGGGCACCACTGCCAGGACCGGGTCTGACATGCCAGTGCCTTCCTGGGCTGCACAGAGACTCTCCCCCTTGTCAGTCAGCACCTTAGGAAACCATCATGGGCACAGAGCATCACATGAGTTGTTTCTCTCTTTAAAGAAGATTCCCTGGAAAGGATGCTTTTCCTCTCCTCTGCCTGCGCAGGAATTCTAACAGGAATGGGTGAGGATGGCAGAGGGACACAGTGCCTGTCTCGCCTCCATCAGGGAGAGCAGCCATACCAGGGATGACTGACTCTTTGAGCCTGTCCTCAGAGGATGGCGAGGCAGCTGGGCAGTGGAGGCCTTCATGGTAACAAATGAAAGCTCAGTATAGAGGAGCAGACACTGTCTACGTCCCTCCCACTGCTCACCTTATATATCTGTGTAGACAAATGTGATAATGACATGATTTCCCACCTGCCCTCCAAGAAAATGGTGACTCCCTCTCAAGTCAGCTACTGGAGAGAGGAGGGTTCTCATTAGCTCTGCAGTTTGCTCTTAAACTCTAGCAGGGAAATCTCCTCTTACCACATCAGCATGTAAGGTGAATAATAACTGTGGTTTTGCCAGACAACAGGTTGTCTGGCCTTCAACCACTGGGCAGTTGCCTGGCAGATGCACACAGTAGCTCCCTGGCTTCTGGCTCTGAGTGTTCCTCTCAGCACCTCTGAGTAAGTTGCTGCCAAGCACATATCCCTGTGACAACACTTTGTAAGCCACGGGGCCCCCATACAGTGAGTGACCTTGCAGCTGTGCAGGGTTGCCATTGGTCACTTTCGCACCTTGGGAAGGTGTCAGTGTTTTCAGTTCTCAGGTAAGAGGTGTAGAACTGTTCCCGCCAGGGCTCTGGGATCGACTGGAAAGGACCACAAAGCTGGTCATCCCTGGGCATCTGGGCCACTGTCACCTGCTGACCTCTAGTATTTCCTTTGCCCTAGAGCTAGAGTCATGATAGCTGAGGTCTCTGGCCCTGCAAGAGTCACCAGGCACCCACCATGCCAATAAGGCTCTCCGCTGGCTCCCTGCAGTTGGCTGGGTGTTTAATAGTCACTGAAAATTCCCAGCCCTGCTGCACACTAGAGGCAGGTCCTCTTGGTCCTCTCTATCCTGTGCTCCTATGTTGGTGGCATGTGAGGACCAATGGGTTCACTCAGAGATAGTGCTTCTGTGTCCCCCAACAAGCTCACGCCCTCTTGGGAGGAGAGAGACATACAAGAACAGTGGGTCATGGGCAGTACCAGCCTCAAATTCCCACAGGCTCATACTCAGACAATTGTATTACTGCCTTTTGTTTTTTAAGTGTTTTTTTTTTTATTCTTCATAGTTGAGTATTATTTGCAATTTTATTAGTTACAGTGCTATTAAAGAATATGTGTTCCTTTTATTATTTTATCAGATACTTATGTTTACTTGCACATTTTTTAAATCTTGAATATATTGTGTTTTGTTAACAAATGTAGTAATCAGTGGAACTCTTCTTATGTTTTGATTATTAGCAGTTAAATACATTTTGTATACATGAAGCTTAGATTAATTCCCATCATCATCTCCTTTTTTTATATATGCCCCTATGTGTTTTATGCATTCCTCTTTGATCAGATTGGAATTTGAGCTAAAACTTAGCTTTGTACATTACGTGTGAGAGTTACAGACTAGCAAGTCTAATTACTTTGCCTTACCTTGAGTGTATGCCACAGGGTCAGATAACACGTTAAACATTTAGTTACACTGGATTACTCTGCCAAAGCTGACCTCCTGCTGATGTTCAGAGGTAACTGCAATCTGGAAAGAGATAATATCACTGCAGAAGGAATGTGACTCTAAAAATAAACCAGGACCTCCCTGTGATTTGCCTTGTCTGCAGATGACCGATGGACTCCCGTGTGTCAGCCCTGGGCTTGCTAAGGAAGCTGCCTCAGGGAGTTGGGGGTCAGTTGCCGCTCTCAACGGGAATGCGGGAATGCCTCCTCTCCTTGTCAGAGATGCTGAACAAATAGCAAGCTCTGTGGCAGTCATGCTGGCCTCCTAATAATAACCTGTCAGAGTTGATGCACATGATTTTCGTGTGGTTTTTTTTTTAAGAAACTGCCCCAGGGGTTCATTATAGAACAGGAGTGTGTATGGAGGACTTAGGTCCCCACATAGAGTGGCCGTTCTGTGGCGGCTACAACCAATTCCATCCCTCCTTTCCTGCGGACACACACCTGGCCCCTGGCCCCTGCCCTGTGTGTCCAGAGGAGGGGCACTGGGGAGGCTGTGGAGCAGAGGGAAGAGGCCGGATGCATTGAGTATGGCACCTGGCAAGCCAGGCTTCCTTCTCAAAGGCCAGGCTGCTTTCTCAGTGTTATAAAGATGTATAAAGTTGGTATAAACAGGCTTGAGACCACTTTGATGTAAAAGCTGTCATAGCAGTTTTTCTTACAGTGGCACAATTCATTTGATTGATGGAATATTCAGTGATGCCATTTATGTCCTATCGCTTTTTTCTCATCCATCTTTATGCTATAACTCATATTGATTTAAGAAATGATTTCTCCTTTTGGCAAAGCGATCCCATTCAATATGGTTATAATAAAAGACTAATGTGAAACTGAGACTGTAGCTTGACTTATTTCAGGCCATGCATGGGGGCACAAGGTGCTGATCAGGCCCGGCCCAGAGGAGTCCCTCGGAGTGCATCGTCAGGCGGGGAGTGGACGATGGAACCGTGTACCAGCCCCAGCACTGTGGTCCAGCCTCACTGCACCACGGGGCAGGTCCTAGGCCTGGCCCAGGGCTCACACCCAACTCTGACATACCCTTCCTAACTTGGGCCAGTTTCTTAACTTCTGGGGCCTCAGTTTCCTTATCCGCAAACGGAAGATAATAGTAGTCACCTAGCTCATAGGGTGTGGTGGGGATTGAAGAGGATAACAATTGAAAGTACTTAGCACAGAGCCTGACATACCATGAAATGCCTGACAGTTTCAAAGATGATGCTTAATTCCGGAAGAGCCCCTGGAGGTCATGTAGTCCTACCCCGACCATTGACAGCCAGGACCTCAGAGGCTGCTGGGAGGCCCGGGTCCCACCCTGAGGCAGCCATGCTCAGCCCACTGGTCCAAGAGACCATTTTAGGGGCGGCCCCAAAGGCTTGCTATCCATCAGCACCAGGTTTGCCCTGGTAGCCACACTTTCAGCACTCCAATGTGAGATTGGTGAAAAGGGCACAGGTGAGGATGGGGGAAAGATGAGTATACTCTTAAGTGACAAACTAGGAGGGATGGGGAGGGGAATCTCTATAGCTTAGGCAGAGCCCTGATGCCAATGGCAGCTTAGAATTTGCACCTGGGCCCATCTCTAGCCTGGGCCTCTGTCCCCAGCCCAGCTAGCAAGTAGCTTTTCCTCTTGTGGGCACAGCCCCTCCCCACAGGTTCTACCATTAAAAGGTTGGAGGGCCTGGTACGCTCCTCAGATGGCTTATGCTAGTGAGGGTGACCCCAGCTTCCTCAGACCAGTGACAGCCACACATGCACTGGCATCCCCCACTGGCCTCCAGTAGTGCCTCACCCATGTCCCTTGGGCGTGACCACTTCATTGCTTCTAGAACCTCCTCCTGCCCTCCCTGCACCTCTCCACCTGAGGTTGGGCTCCTGGCCCTAGAAAGTCGCTAGCAAGTGTGAGGGAATGCCGTCTCCGGGGAGCAGCTCTCAGCCGTAGGCTGAGGAGTCGGGGCATAATGCCCCAGGCCCCTAGCCCCTGGGTGGAGCCACCCTGGTGTGAGTGCTGGTGGCTTCCCAGGGCTTCCCTGCAGGGTTAAGCTCCACTTGCTCTCGAATCTTCTCTCAGGGTCAGCTTCTTGGAGAACTGAAGCTAAGACACCCTAGACACCCTTCTTCCTGAGCCCCTTCTCCGGGCAGAAGGGTTGTCCTTGGCTCACCCCCTACCAAGGCCGGGGGTGGGTGGGAAGAGAGTGCAGGTGGTCAGGTGGGCCCAGAGTCCTCACAGATGAGGGCTGTGCTGAGAGGCTGCTGCCCCGGTGTCTGTGGTTCTTCAAGGGCCAGGGCAGGCCCTCTGTGTGAGCTCTTGCTCCCAGGCCTGCCGAATTGCCCCCTCTCACAAGTGAACATTACCCACAGCTGGTCAGGCCCTGCTGGAAGAGCTACTGAGGCTCCTTTTCATTTGGTAGTTTGCCTCTGCCACAGCCAGCATTCTTAGCCTTTTAAGGACATGTGTGCATCACCAGTAACTTCTGGACTCTGAGCAGCATATCTGTTGGTGAGAGGGGACAGATGACACCGACCCAGAGGGCCCATTCAATATTGGGCCACTTGTTCCTCCAGCAGATGTGATTGGATACCCTCCAAGTGTGAGGCTGCACAGGTGCTGGGGACACACAAAATGCCCCTCAGATTGCCAGGAGTGGCTGGAAGAGACTTGTTTCTATATTAGGAACAAACACCAAAAAGAAAAATTAAATACTAAGGTAGCCCAGAGGAAATCCTCTATGCAGCCTGGGAGGGGTTCCAGGAGACCACAGAGGTGAGTGAGTGAGCGGGGCCCAGCGTGAGCCTGCCGCCTGCCCTCTGTGGTGGGGCACTCCCACTTCCTGCTCAGCAAATGGTAGAAACCGAGTTGAGGGGTGGACTTACAGCAGCCAGGCAGTTGCGTTTTCCCACAGGCACTTGCAGTAATGGGGATGGCCCCTCACAAAGGACTTGATGCTGCCCAGCCATTCAGTGATAACCACCAGAGAGTGCCCAGGCTGTGCCAGCTGTGGAGCCCCGGAAGGGTCCTGAGGGCATGCCACCGACCCATCATCTGGGCTTAACTCCAGCAGCTGCCTGGCAGCAGGAGCCCCTCCCATGTGTCAGACTCAGAAAAGTGAAGGGATATTTAACAAGGTGTAAGTATAACTGAAAGGGTGATGGGGCTGCAGCGGATGTCACACCCAGTCCTCCACAGAGTGCTGTGAAGGGCAGGACAACCAACAAAGGCCATGTTGTAAAGAGATCATCATTCACTGCCTTTCTGACAACATGCTTGGCCCTCAACATCCCTACCTCCTGCCCTCAGCTCTGCCCCTGGTCCTGAGCTACCCAGCTGTCAATGCCAGGGCCCAGTGGTCTATGCACAGCTTCCTGGCCCTTGGACCATCCCACAGCTTGGTCAGACCCTTTCTTATCCCACCACAGAGAAGGCCTTGTTCCCACTTTCAGGTCTGGCCAGTGGCCTTGTTCCTCTGACTCCAGCTCACCTCCTCACCCCCTCTCCTGGAAGCAGATACCACCAAGAGTCCCTCTGAACCCTCAGGATGACAGGTGGTTCCTTGACCACCGCATTCCCACAAGGCTGTGCTCTAGCCCCACTGGCGTCCCTTCCGCCCAAGGCTGAACACCTGCCCTTTCTTCTGCCCACACCACCTCTCCCTGCCGTCCAGGTTACAGGGGTGAATGCCAGCTTCAGTGGCCAACCTGTTCTGGGGTGAGGCTCCACCAGACTCCTGCGCATGGAACTGCTTCCCAAAGTCTTATTGTTATATTTTGCTTTGTGTCACACAGCAAGAGTTTATGATGTTTATGGCTTTTGTGCGGCAGGGATTCAGGTAGGGCACAGTGGGGATGATTTGTCATTGGTACCCCTGTTATCTGGGTCTTTGGAAGACTCGAAGGCTGGTCTTTCACTAAGATATCCAATGGTTGATGCTGAGACCTTAGCTTGGGCTGTCAGCCAGAGCACCTACATGCAGCCTGGGCTTTTTTGCCGAATGGTGGCTGGGATCCAAGAACGAGTGTCTGAGGGGAAGGCAGGTAGGTGGAAGCCATTTCACCTTTTATGACTGGCCTCAGAAGGCGCACCAGTTCTGCCACATTCTCTTCATCAAGGTAGTCACAAGAAGCATCAATTCTGCCACATTGTATTCATCAAGGTAGTCCCAAGCCCATGCAGATTCAAGGGGAATGAAAATCGATAGCACTTCTTGATGGGGAGGGTCATGTTCCAGAAGCACATGTGGGACTGGAAGTGCTGCGGCCGCTTTTGGAGACTGTAATCCACCATGCACATTGCAGGCTTCTGCAGGGTAGCAGGAGTGAGGCCTCAGTCATCCGGTGGTAGACTAAGGCTGCTCCAGCCATACTAGGGAGCTTACAGGCCCCATCCAAACCCTGCAATATGTGTAGCTGCTCTCCTCTCCTCCAGGAAACCTCAGGTGTGTTTTTAAAGCACACCCGAAAACTCTTTGACACCACTCCCATCAAGAGGCCCTTGAATCTTGGCTCTGTGACTTCTCAACCAGTAGAATATGGAGGACATGATGCAGCTCAGATGAGAACTACTTCTTGTCTCTTGGTACATTCACACTTGGAACCTGGCCACCATGCTGCAAGGAAGCCCAAGCAGCTCTGTGGAGAGGAGCCAACAGTCAATAACAACTTACAATACCATCTTGGAAGTGAATCCTTTGGCCTCAACGACACTGTGCAGAGCAGAGACAAGCTGGCCGGGCACGGTGGCTCATGCCTGTAATCCTAGCACTTTGGGAGGCCAAGGCGGGCGGATTACCTGAGGTCAGGAGTTCAACACCAGCCTGAGCAACATGGAGAAACCCCGTCTCTACTAAAAATACAAAATTAGCCGGGCGTGGTGGCTCATGTCTGTAATCCCAGCTACTCGGGAGGCTGAGGCAGGAGAATTGCTTGAACCCAGGAGGCAGAGGTTTGCGGTGAGCCAAGATCACGCCATTGCACTCCAGCCTGGGCAACAAGAGCAAAACTCCATCTCAAAAAAAAAAAAAAAAGAGCAGAGACAAGCTATACCCATCAAACCCTTCCCAAAGTACAAAATTGTGAGCAAACTAAATGACTGTTTTAAGCTACTAAATTTTGGGGAAGGTCGTTATGCAGCAGTGGCTATTTCCTGATACTCTGACTAGCAGGACCCATCTCTTATAAACTCTCCCATCTTAGGACTGTACACGTTCTCCAGGCCTTTGTCCTACCTCCCTGCCTTCTGCTGAATGTATTCATGTCCAAGTCCAGATTCTGCATTTCTTATCTTGAAAAGAGGGACTCTGAGCCTTAGCTATTTATTCACCCATATTTATGAGCACCTACCATGTGCCAAACACTGTGCTGGGGGCTAGAGACATGCAGTGAACAAGATGGATAAGATACCTGTCCTCAGGGAGCTTGCAATCCAGTGGGAGAGAAAGGCAATGCCCAGTAAATGAATGAGTGAGATAATTTCAGATAGGAAGGATGTGGCAGAGACCCTTCAGGAAGTCCCAGTTCCCTTTCCCCCTGGGGAGGGACACAACTAGACCAGCCTCCCTTGAAGGGACTGAGCTCGGGCCACTGGAGTGTGAGGGGTGAATATGAGTATGTAGAGGAGGAGGAGATGAGTAGATGACTCTGGGAGCCCAGAACGGTGGGGTGGGGGAAAGCATGGAAACCACCTCCTCCCCAGATCTTGAGGACCAGCTGGTATCAGGTTTTCCCTAAACCTCTTTGTCATTCTTTGCTTTCATTCCCATAAACATTGCCCCTCCCACAAACATCACCCCTGGGGAAAGAGTCATAATCAACTCTGATCAAATCCCAGGCTGCTTACAGGTTGGGGAAAGATAGAAGCCAGTGTCGCTTAGAACCAACCCCAACTCATTCAGAGAGATTAGTGTCCATCAGACACCAGTGCCCTGAGCCCTGCCTGCCTGACTCCACCCTCAAGGTGCCAGGGGTCCATCTAGCCCACTGTCAGCCAATCAGGAGGGGACTATGAGCAAGACAAGCAAGCTTCGGGAGCCTCCATTTCCCCATCGTTAATATGGGGGGGGTGGGGCTGGGGCAAATGCCTAGCTTGGCCACCTTGCAGGAGTGTTGCAAGGGGATTAAGCCTGTCAAACTCCAGGCCCTGGTCTGGCTGTCACCTGCATTAACTCCTCCCAGTCTCCCCATGGGGGCTGGTGATGGGGAAGGCAAAGCCTTGGGCTGATGTGGCCACATGTGTGCAGACAGCCCCAAAGCTCTGCCCCTCAGGACTTCCCCTCCCCCAGCACCTGAATGGCAGGATTTGGGTGGCTTCCAGCTCCTGGAAGTGACAAGCTCCGCATGATCGCAGCAGCCTCTGTGCTTCCATCTACCATGCAGCACCAGCACCAGGGACCAAACTCACCCTGTCACAAAATATGGAGGCTTGTTCCTGGGCGTGTGTGTGACTCACCCAGCGTCACAGCAGTGGTGTGTGGCAAGGCTGCCACTGGGTTTCTGAGAATCCTGCACCTCAGAGATTCAGAGAAACTCAGACTTTCAGAGAAAGTCTGTCCTGTCCGCTGTCAGCAGAGGCGTTAACCACAGAGCTTGCAGTGGGAGCCCCGAGAACTAGCTCAGCAAGGCCAGGCAGAGTTTACCCTTCCTGTCCCTGAGCTGCTCTGGGGCTGGAGGCTGCAGGTAGTAGAGCCAGATGTTAGCTCTGTCCCCTGATGGCAAAGTGGATGTGGCAGGAACAGGTGAGAGACGTGCCTGCTGGAGTCGAACTGGGGATCCGCTTTGCTGGATTCCATGGGAACAAAGCAGATCCAGGCCTCATGTTATCACCCACCCCTCCTGTGTAGGCTGGGTTTGGTCCCAGCTGGTCCAGGAGACAGTGGGTAGGCCCCACTCTCTCTGACACTCCATCTGAAAAATGAGGAGGCTGATGTAGAGCTGGCTTTCCTTTTTTTTTTTTTTTTTTCTTTTTGAGACAGATCCTTGCTCTGTTGCCCAGGCTGGAGTGCAGTGGCGTGATCTCAACCCACTGCAACCTCCGCCTCCTGGGTTTCAAGCAATTCTCCCACCTCAGCCTCCCGACTAGCTGGGATTATAGGTGCCCACCACCACACCCGGCTAATTTTTTTGTATTTTCAGTAGAGACGGGGTTTCACCGTCTTGGCCAGGCTGGTCCTGAACTCCAGACCTCATGATCCACCTACCTTGGCCTCCCAAAGTGCTGGGATTATAGGCATGAGCCACCACGCCCGGCTGAGCTGGCACTTTTTTCAAACTTTTTTGACCAGACCCCACAGTAATAAATACATTTTATGATGAAATTTGACTGGCTTAAAAATATATTCCATGATATATTAAATAGGATTGTGTCTGCTGCTATATAACACACAGGTTCCAAAATGTCAGTTGCTCAAAACAAGAGAAGTCCATTTCTCACAGACATAAGTATCAAAGTGAGGCTTCCTGGTTTGTGTGTGACTCTCCTCCATGCAGTGATTCAGGGACCCAGCCACTTTGAGGCTCTATCCTTTAGGACTTTCCCACCAATGTCAGAGCCACCTTGACTCAGAAGTAAAGTGTCATTTTTAATCACACTCCACTGGGAAAGCAAGTCACCCAGCAGCCTACCCAGACACAAGGGCAACCCCTTCCTAGGGACACACTGATACTGTGTAGAGGAGTACAGCTTTGCTAGCTAGTCAGCTGCCTCCACTGCCACACCCTAACCCCTGAATACACACACCATACACACCCTGAAACAGAAGGCTCATGAAACAAACATCCTCATACTGCATGCAATACCTTGCTCATTCTGATACCTCCTCCCCTATTTTATTTGATTCTATTTTATTTTCATAAGTGCTGGATGTGACCCACTAAATTAATCTCATGATCCACTAATGGGTCAATTCCTACAGCTTAAAGATTCAGATGATTCCTTAAAGAAGTGTCCATAATATTAACCAACTCTGTAGATTGTATAGAGTTCAGTGGTCACATAGTTGATAAGCTTTTTGAGCTAAAAAGAGAACTGCTTGAAGCTATAGCTGTCAGAGGAAGAAGCATGTAAAAAAAAGAAGTGTCTTTTAATGCAGAATAGATTGGAATATCCTCCTAATCTATGCAAAGAAATAAGAACTGCTCAGGTGTCCAGGGGCAGAAGGCATTCTAGGGAGGCCAGGAGGATGGTTTCTGAGGGACATGTTGGCTCCAGGCTCTTTTCTGGGAGGATTTGACAAGTGCTTTTCCCAGAATGCAGCCAATTTTGCACAAATTCCAGCCAGGTGACAATGATCATTCACCAGAATGTAAGAGGAGGACCTAGAGTCTTGGCACCTGCTGTGAAAGATCCTCTATGTTCCCGGGTCACCCTTCCTCTCCCACCTTTCCTCCCCCTGAAAGGTCTGCCGCATTCTTGTTGCTCATGTCATCTGAGCCCTGACAGGTCTGCAAAACACTTCTGGGTCTGGTACTCTTCTCTCAGAAACCCCTGGGAAATAGCCCTATAACTTGTGACTCAGTTCATGATGCATGGCCCAAAGTGACACTGAGGACACTGACCCCTTTCTTTGAAGAGATGAATCAGATGTCATAATAACCTAGACACTCCTGCATAAATCTAATTTCAAATTTCCAACTAAGCCAGGTGCAGTGACTCAGGCCTATAATCCCAGCACTTTGGGATAGAAGGATCACTTGAGCCCAGGACTTTGAGACCAGCCTGGGCAACATGGTGAGACCCCATCTCTACAAAACATTTAAAAATTAGCTAGGTGTGGTGGCTTATGCCTGTAGTCCCAGCTACTCAGGAGGCTGAGATGAAAGGATCACTTGGACTCAGGGAGGTTGAGGCTGCAGTGAGTCATGATTGCACCACTGCACTCCAGCCTGGGTGACAGAGATCCCATCTCAAAAAAAAAAAAAACTCCAACTAATTTTGGTCCATGCGTCACAATTTATACAGCTGTCCCTATTACAAACCCAAAGCAAGGGGTCTGCATGGAAAAGATGTGCAATGCGAGGAGTGCAGGCTTGGGCAGCCAGTGGATCTGGGTGCAAGAAGGGCCTCGGCCTCACACAAGTGCTACGTGCCCTTAAGCAATTTGCACAACGTCTCTGAACCTCCATCCTCTTACCTGCAATTGGGCATGCATTGCCTGCCTCTCAGGGCACGAGCAAGAAGCGGATGAGTGTATGGCCTGGCTAACGGTGAGTGCCCGACAGATGCTGGTGTGTCCCATCCCCATGCAGAAGGGCCATAAAACTGTAGTCTGTCTCCAAGTATTTCTAGTTAGTGATATCCAAGAAGGCACAGGTACATCCTATGGCTTAGTGTACAGGTTGTATGGACACAACTCTGGGTCCACATACACGCACTCAATCAATATTTACTGAGTATTTCAGACCCTGTTCTAGGCACTGGGGAAGCAGCAGTAAAAAAAAAAAAAAAAAAAAAAAAAAATGTTCTTATGGAGCTGACAGTTTAGTGTCGCCTTTCCTGCCTGTCGCCTCCCTACCCCAGCTCCTCTCCTCTCACAGCTACTTCTAATCTGGTCATTGGTTCAGGTAACTAAGAGTTCAGACAGAGTCATGATGAATACTAACTATCATTATAATAATGAAAAGAGAACTGGGAAAAATTATTTTATAGGCCACAAAGAGATATTAAATTATATTGGAACATTATGCATCAATGGAAAACACAGCTGGAAGGAAACCATGGTAGGCATAATTCAGAACACCAGATAATCCCAAAATTATTTCTACTGGCTGTCTTAGAAAGGCTTTAAAAAATAATTCAACTTTTTATTTTGAAATAATTTTACATGCACATAGAAGTTGCAAAGATAGTGTACAGAGAATTACCTTGTACCCTTCACCCAGCCTCCTCCAATGATAACATCTTACTTAGCCATAGTACCATTATCAAGACCAGGAAATTGCTGCATTACTAGTTACTGTTAACCAAACTGAAGGCCCTACTGCAATTGTGCTCATTTGTACATGCACTCTTTTTATTTTTCTGGTGTTCTATGAAATTTTATCCCATGTATAGATTTGTATAGCCACCACCACAATCAAGATACAGAAAGTTCCATCACCACAAAGAAACTCCCTCATGTTCCCTCCTTATAGTCACAGCCTCCTGCATCCCTAGCCCCTGGTAACCAGTGAACGGTTCTCCGTCACTGTTATTTTGTCATTCTGAGAATGTTATATAAATGGAATTATGCAGCATGGAACCTTTAAGGATTGGCTTTTTTCACTTCATCTAAAGCTCTTGAGATCCATCCAACTTGTGTGTATCAAAATTATTTCCCTTTTATGTATTCGTAGCATTCTATGATACGGAAGTACCACAGTTGATGTTTACCCCACTGAAGAACATTTGGGTTGTTTGTAGTTTTTACCTGTTACTAATAAAGCTGCTAAGAACATCTGTGTGCAGGTTTTTACATGGCCTTTGATGCACGGAATCTATTACTATTTTTTTTAAATGGTGTCTCACTCTGTTGCCCAGGCTGGAGTGTAGTGTCATAATCTCAGCTCACTATAGCCTCCACTTCCCCGGTTCAAGCGATTCTCCTGCCTCAGCCTCCTAAGTAGCTGGGATTACAAGGGCACACCACCACACCCCACTATTTTTTTTGCATTTTTAGTAAGGATGGGGTTTCACCATGTTGGCCAGGCTGGTCTCGAACTCCTGACTTCAAATGATCCACCCGCCTCACCCTCCCAAAGTGCTGGGATTACAGGCATAAGCCACCACGCCCAGCCTGGAATCTATCTTTTACGCCCACTCTCAGCAAATAGATTTTCCTTATATTGCATCAGCCTCATGTGTGAGTCATTACTTATCTGGATGTAATAGATGGGACAATGCAAATGCCTGTAACACAACTGAGAGTCGGGAAGAAAGCAGAGAACAACTTGAGTAGCAATGACAGGTGTGTAAATGTCACCAAGTCACTGCAGGAGGCCCATCAGCCATTGCTCTGTTATTTACATATATTTAACACACACCTAAAAGGTTTGGCCATAGTGTCTCCTTGTCCACAGCCATTCACATTCGGTGGAGATGGCCTTAGACAACAGCTGATGTTACAACTGATAATATGACGATGCAGGTGAGACTTAAAAACAGTCTCATAATGCTAGAAACCTGGGCCCACTCAGTGTAGGGTGAATAATCCAATTCACTTCAGTGGCTCAAGGGGCACCTCTTTTACTGCAGCAGAGCCACCTTTGCTCAGAGTGGTTACCAGAGTCCTCTAGAAAAGACTGAATTTTGTTTAGTATACTCCTCAGCAAGGCAACAACTGATGGTCAAGAGTGATTTCACCCCAAACTATTGAGAGTTACAGAAATCAAAATGCTTCAAGTAGTAAGCTCTAGCAAATTAACGTGAAGAATACCACATTCTCTGAGGCCAAGTAAATTAGGTATCACTATATTAATGATTCATTTTAATGAACACATCCCAACCAAAGGCAGACCAGGCCTACCCTTGTTCCATGCCTATACTCAGGGTAGACACAGTGTATTAGTCTGTTTTCATACTTCTATAAAGAACTACCTGAGAATGGGTAATTTATAAAGGAAGAGGTTTAATTGACTCACAGTTCAGCATGATTGGGGAGGTCTCAGGAAACTTACAATCATGGCGGAAGGTGAAGGGGAAGCAGGCACCTTCTTTACAAGGCAGCAGGAAGAAGTGCTGAGTGAAGGGGGAAGAGCCCCTTATGAAACCATCAGATCTCGTGAGAACTCACTGTCACGAGAACAACAGGGAGAAAACCACCCCCATTATTCAATCACCTCCACCTGGTCTCTCCCTTAACACGTGGGGATTGTAGAGATGACAATTCAAGATGAGATGTGGGTGGGGACACAAAGCCTAGCCATATCGATTACACAGCTTGGGGTCAAACTTT